CCATTACACCTAAATGGAACTGTACTTGTTCATGCCATTCAGAAAAGTTCAATCCATTGAACACAGTAACAGACGAAGCATGCGAATGAAGAGGAATAACTGCAAAATAGATATACATGCTCACAAATCAGAAAATAATGTGAATTCAGTAAAGCGATAAAAATATATCGTAATTCTCCTTTGGGTAGATATTACGACACATTATCATAATTTAAATGCCAATTTTATCTTTAATAGGTAATTGAATATTTTTAATCAAACATATACGACATCTTTGGATATACAATATATGTTTGACTAAAAAGATTAATTTACCTCATAATTTTCACTATTCGTAGAATGATTGATTCACCTTTGGGTAAATTCTTAAGTTCTACCAATAGTGAAAGTCAATTTATCTATTTATTTTTCAATATATAGGCATTTAATTAACCTTCATAGATAAATGACAATTTTATGAATGCACATTCTTCTTAATCATACTAGTTTGACCACTTTGGTGACTAGCAAACTATATAAATACAAATGCACACATAATATCATAAAATTTTGTGCATGTGAATAATTTTATACATTTTAGTTTGGCCACTTTGGTGACTAACAAACTATAGAAACATAATACATGCATCAAGTGATCAAAAGCATGATATGTGTAGGCGTTAATTTATCTAGTTTGGCCACTTTGGTGACTAACAAACTATATAAGTACAAATGCATACATAATATAATAAAATTTTGGGTATATGAATAATTTTATAAATTTTAGTTTGGCCACTTTGGTGACTAAAAAACTATAAGACCATAATACATGCATCAAGTTGAAAAATCAGACACAGTTTCTCTTGAAATACTGAATATGCCAATAAATAATGAATTGTACTAATCCACATATATCAAGTTACCATAAATATTATATGTATAGACGTTAATTTCTCTAGTTTGGCCACTTTGGTGACTAACAAACTATACAAACATAATACATGCATCAGGTTGAAAACCAAACTCAGTCTCTCTTGGAATACTAAATATGCCAATAAATAATGAATTGTACTAATCCACATATGTCAAGTGACCACAAATATTATATGTGTAGACGTTAATTTATTATGGGGTTGCAAACATCAATTCTAAACTTTTCATGAGTGATGATAACCTAATTAACAAGCATTACTTGTTTAACCATTGACCCCTTGCTCTTAATAAATCATAAGATAGCTTATAAAAATTTATCAGTAATGGCGCTTTAATATTTCAATATCCTCGCGTAAAAGTTTATTAGGACATCAATTATTGGCTAAGGCAAAAAGTTTCTCAATTCTCAGTTAAACATTACGTTGCATCAACATACTGTATTGTAAGCACAAATTTAAAATTACTATTAGTCTTCCAAATATTATCAGTAATGGCGAAAAATTTTAGACCATCCTCACTGAAAATGTTGGATCTATCCCTCATGCAATTTTTTAAAATATGCTTGTTTTATATACGAAGATTATCAGTTCAAACAATTCAGGCTCTAATACCACATGTAAGATTAAATACTTTAATACATAATATCAGGATCTTGAACATGACAATCTTACATAGAGAATGTTAGAGGCACATACCTGATGCGGAAGACATAATCACAAAGAGAAGCGGAAGCGTTAGTCGTAAATTGGTTTCTACCTCATTGCCCTAACTTTATGTTACCATAACCGTCAGCGATGGAATTAATGTAGAGAATATGTGGTAACCCTAATGGGTGGAGGGAGGACCAATTTATAGAGGTTATGACTTAATCTGGTACGTCCATCAAGTAACCAATGTACGAACGAGATCTATTCCTTATTAAATATTATTTATGATATTACTTTGATTCCAAGTAAACTTGGGTCATAAGTAAGAAATAATTAATAGTAAATAAATAATAATTCTTACATTATGATATAATATTTGTATACAAATGGTAATGAATTGTGTTTTAACATTGGTGTGATTGTCTATTAACTGTGTATATGGTACGAATTATTAAATTGATATGAAAATGGTATGAATTGTCAAACTAGTGATTTTTGCTAAAAATATAACATTATGCTTATTTTCTATTCTAAACATGTTGTTGGGATGAAACGTGTATGAAATTTGATTAATATGTGTATGACTCTGACTTTAATGTTTGATTGTTGGATATTGTAT